TTTGAATGGCTGTGGAGAAGAAGGAATTTCAGCAGCTGTTGTTTGTTACTGGTTGTGTGAAAAGCAACACCTGATGTATTTCTTTCTTTTACACAAACATGAAAAGCCATCTCCAGTTTTCAGTCTGGCAATCCTATTCCTGACTAAAAGGCCACCTTATCCCCAAAGACAGGGTATATTGTGAAGTCGTAGGCTTTCATGGCCGGCATCCATAGGTTTTTTGTGGGGTTTTTCGGGCTGTGTGGCCATGGCCACACAGCCCGAAAAAAAAACACAAAAAACCAACAGGGTATATTGCTCTGGCCTTCTGATCTGGCCAACTCAAGGCATGGCTACATAGACCAAATGAAGTGGTTTTCCGCCATCCTCACAGTGACCTGTCCACACAACACAGGGGCAAATCCCCCATTTGAGTGCAGACTGTCTTCACGACATAAAGCCAGTGCTGCATTGAACCCACATCATATCAGTCTTAAACTTTTGCTCTGACATTTTCAGGAAAACTTGGAGCATTCAGTAGTGGTGCTGGGTGGCTATATACACATGTGTCCCACTATTAGCCTTTGCAGACTGCCAGAAATAGTGCACATGAAATTGAGGCACTGCCCTGGCTCAGTGCTATGGAATCATGAGAATTGTATTTTATTCTGAGACATTGAGCCTTCTACGTCAGAGAGCTCTGGTGCCACAATAAATTACAGTTCCCATGATTCCCTAGCACTGAGCCAGGGCAGTGCCTCAATTTAATGTGCACTATTTCTGGCAGTCTGCTTAGGCCTTATGACTCTGGAGATCAGGGCTTGATTCCCAACGCAGCCATGAGACCCACTGGTTTGCCTTGGGCTAGTCACAGATTCTCATCCTCAGGGGAAGGCAATGGCAAACCTCCTCTGAACAAATCTTGCCAAGAAAATCCCATGATAGGTTCTTAGAGTCGCCATAAGTTGGAAATGACTCGAAGGCACATAACAACAACACATTACTTAAGTCTAAATTTTAACCGTTTGATAAACCAAGCATCTGGTACATATTTTCCTGTCAAGTCGAAAACCACTCTGCTTCATACCCAAATTTCTGTTCATATGTACGCACAAAAGTTCACACACAAGAGCCCACCCTCCTTTCTTTTCTTCTGGAAGGTATTTTTGGCAGCATTGGGAGGATGGTGAAAGAGAGCAAGAGAAAGACACAGACTTTCAGTGCTGGGTTACAGCAGCTTGTCTGCAGTAAACAGTGCAATAAAGCTTGACCTGGGCAAGAATGGGATTCTTGTCTAGGTGAATGTTTTGTATTGTATGGGATTGTGCTTTTAAATTGTAAGCCGCCTTGATAGCCTCGGCTAAAGGCGGGATATAAATAAATTATTATTATTATTATTATTATTATTATTATTATTATTATTATTATTATTATTATTATTATTATCCTATTGTAGGTATGTGTGCAAGGTAACAACAGACAAGATAAACAGCATGCCTCCAGAATCCTTTACTGAACATGTGTGAACAGCAATACAGAAAGAGGAAAGCAGATTAGCCTGCCTCACCATCTACCCTGAGTTGTTGAAAAAGTGTAGATCTATAAGTTTCGCCATGTTCGCCATAGAGGATGTTGAAAGAAAAAAATCATCTGAGGATGCATTTTGGAAGAAGCTTTCAGGTGGTTTCTAGAAGACTGATAATGCTTATTTATTTATACAACGCTTACCTAACCTGCTTGTTTCAATTCTCAAGTGCATAATGTTAGTTTTGAATAAAATGTTTGTTGAAATATGTTGAATTATTTTTTTTGTGTGTGTGTGGTATAGGAACCTATGGTATTCCTATTCTTTCTGTGATCCTGTCTGCACTGGTCAGGAGACTTGAGGGGCAGCCTGGAGTATCCATCCAAATACCTGATATTTTGTAGAAGTCTGCAGATTGTGCCTTATGAGGGGATATTGTAAAGTAATAATTATAACCCAGAAGTTATTATGGTATATTGATGAAATTTTGTCAGTGTCATCATTGGTCCCAAAGTGCATGATGTTGAGACAGTCAGCTCATTGTGTCCTTTATTTTGTGACAGGTTGTGCCAGAAGTGACTAAAATATAAAATCCTTGTAAGGCGCAATCTGCAGACTTCTACAATAACGGCATTCGGAAGGTCAAGAAATGCTGGAAAAAATGTGTAAATCTGGATGGTGTGTACGTAGAGATAAGTTAACAACTACAAATCAAAACAAACTTTCTGTCAATTTTGTTAAAAGGTGATAAGTAAAACTTTACGATACCCCTTCGTAAGTTGCCATTAGCGCTCTCTGTCACATCTGCGGGGAGGCATGTACCTCGAATTTAATACAAATATTCACAAAGACATGAAAATACCAGGTCATAATTTGCCCTCCATGACTGAGCCTACCCAGATAGTCTTGGGACGCATCTAATTCAGAGATCTGCTATGAGATATTAAACATAAGTAACTATTCTTAAGCCAGTGCAGGAGGGTTTACATTACAGAGTATATTAATAATGAAAGCAGAGAACAGCCTTCAGTGTGTGTTACAGTGGGAAGGTGGAGATTCAAACAGTGATTGTTTTCCTCCTGGTGAGAACAGAGGTGTTACAAGTACATAAGAATGTTCTTATTTTTATCTCAGGTGTGTTCTGCCCAAGGAGGTGAGAAAATAGCAGCTTCATCTAGGAAGATGCACAGTAGGGATCCCCCAAGATTAATGGCTCAGTAGGGATGAGTATGTGGGATGCGTAATGCAAGGTTGGTTAGGGACTATAAGAGCAACACAGATCCCATTGTTGGTGAGGGGTTTTTATACCTCTGAAAAGGCTCATATAAATCCTCCTACCCCACCCTCCATACACACAGAGTTTCCTAATAGGCAAAAATGTATTGGTAAAACTTTTCCTGGTTCACAGAGAAAAAATAAATCACTTGCTATCTTTCTGCACATCAGGTTACTGATAAGAGTACACAAGACCTGTTAGAGAAACATTCAAAGACACAGACACACATGAACACTGAAAGAAAAATAATAAGAAGGCCATGTAATTACCAGTAATCTTAATGGAAAAGCACTGGGAATTCCATGTAGATGGGGAATGGAGATACAAATACAGTGGTCCCTCTACATTCGCTGAGGTTAGGGGTGAAGGACCCCCGTGAATGTGGAAAACCGAAAATGAAAAAACACTATTTTTTTTTTACCTAAGAGAACACCTCTGTAGGAATCTCCAGGTCCTCCAGTGCAACTCTATGGTCAACATCTGCCAGAAGCTGATCATAGAATCATACTGGAAGACCTACAAATGCCTAGACAAGTGTATTCTCAAGCAACTTCTAGGTTTTCCAGCACAACTCTATGGTCAACTTCTGGCAAAGTTGTGCAGGAGGACCTAGAGATTCCTAGAGAGAACATATTACGGTAATTAAAACCGCAAATAATCAACCCAAATATCACATAGTGGTAAATCTTTTCCTTAAAATATACATCTGCCTTGTGAAGTGCCTGCCATTATGCCAGAGATAAAGGATGTTGCAGACTGGGCAAGAGAAAAATGTTTCTTTCCTGGTGCATGTGCCATTATCCTGAAGAACTGAGTCTTACTTCTTTTATTTGTTCACTTCAGTAGGAAAACCACTGTTTCCCAGGACATAATTTATGTGTACACACGTACAACTGTGACATTTAATTGGTCACTCTGGTGTTGTGTGGGAAGGTAGGTTCAATCTCCTACCAGTGTTATCCTGTAGAGTGGTACGGTTGCAGTGATTTTTTTCTTTTGGACAAAAACAAAATTTATATTCCATTCATATCTGGAGGGGGGGGGAGGAAAGATTTTATTAGGTTTCATATGAGAAAACCAGGCTGCATCCTCAGTAACAGTACCTCACTTTAGTAACATTTCTGAAAAGGAGAGGGAGGGAGGAAAGACTTAAGCCTTGGGCAAGTCTTTCCTGATTACTCTGCCTTTATAATAATATAACAACAGCCCCCAGGCAGAGTTAGTCCTGGTGTTTAGGAACAATGGGCTTTCCAGGTCCATCAATAGGGCTGGATAAAATCCATTGCCCCATCTATCTCTGTAACTCTTCACCATTTGCCTGCAGATTAGCTATTTGGAAGAGCTGCTGAAAGGTTTTGATGTACAAAATGAGGATACAAATTTCACCCACTTTTTAGTGCAATACTTTGCCATGAGTGCAAAGGAGGAGTTTTTTTGGACCAACAGTAATAAATGTGCATGCATGCAAATGCACAACATATTGATGTAATTTTACATACATGCAGTTCATCAATGTTGGCTGTTGTTGTTATTTTGTGCCTTCAAGTTGTTTTTAACATGGCGACCCTAAGGCAATCCTATCACGTGGTTGGCAAGATTTGTTCATTGGTTTGCCATTGCCTTCAGTAGTTTGCCACTGCCTTTCCCTGAGGCTGAAAGAGTGTGACTTGCCCAAGATCACCCAATAGTTTTCATGGCAGAGCAGGGAACTGAACCCTGGTCTCCAGAGTTGTAATCCAGTGTTCAAATCATTATGCCACACTGGCACTACATGGCATTTCCTCATAAATGCACACATCTGTTTCTGGCTGATGTTCACTGACAAAGATATCATGTTTCCCCAATCTGGCACCCTCCAGAAGTGCCCATCATCTCCACTAAGCATGTACCCTGCTAGATTTAGCTGATGACAGTTATAGTCAGACATCAGAAGGACCATGGTGAGGAATTCTCCTATGTACGAACACACAATGTGCATGTCTCCTCAGAATCAAAGCTTGTAGATTTTAATCTCATGCAACTTATTGGAGTCTATCACACCCATGTCCACACCAATATTCACACATGGCATAGCTATTTTTTCTCATACATATAGTTTACTTATACTCATTAGACTGAATGTCCATCTGAAGAATTGGATTTAACCTTGTGCTGGCACAAATCCCTTGTGCCATACAGAGATCAATAAAATATTATTTCCTGTTACTCCTATATATGAGAGCCAGTATGGTGTAGTGGTTTGAGTGTTGGACTGTGATTTTGCAGGCTGGGGTTCAATTCCCAGCTCAGCCATGAAACCCACTGGGTAACCTTGGGCAAGTCACATGCTCTCAGCTTCCCGTGAGAGATTCACCTTAGGATCACCATAAGCTTTAAAAGACCTGAAGGTACACAACAACAACAAACTCCTACACACATACAGTGTTAGGTCTCTGCTTCTCATCTTCCAGAACATGGCAGAACATGGCTCTCATGCTTGCATCACCTGATGTTATCGGCTTTAGAAGTGCCTGCTTGGGCACACTTTGGTCCGAGCCACATGGGTTGATGTGAAAGTCTGATAGTCCTATAGGATGTGCTAGATATTCCCTTCAGCAGCTACCTTTACTGGAGGCCTCCTTTAAGAAAGCCAAGAGTGACCTCTCATAACTCCCAGTGGACTTGCCAGAAAATCATGTTGCCACAGCCACAGTCCCTCTACACATGTCTTAGGTCTGTAGGTGGGCAACCAGGAAGGGGAGCCACTGAACAGCCTAGATTTTAGCCTTGTGGCTGATTGCTAGACTAGCTACCCCCTTCAGTTTCCTAACAGTGTATGTGCCAAAACTCTAGTTCTCTTTATCTGAGAACTCCAATACAGATCATCCCTCCATTCACCATATTTAATTAAAAAGCATTATAGGGCTGGGGTACATAGATCTGGGGAAGGGAGCATGCCAATGTCAAGTCCAAACAGTTATTGTTCCAGGACTGACACCTGCTGCTTAGAATAGGAATTGGGAAGGAAGTTACTTTTCGCCATTGGTCAATAACACGTACCAGCACTCTCATAATATAACTATGGAATGCATATAGTGATACAGGCACAGCCAATATAGTACTTTCTCATGGACATCCACAGTCATGGCTACACACACAAACACACCATTCCTTGACAATATTCATTATGGCCTCACTGAGTCATGCACACTCTCATAAGCATAAGTGTGGCAAAGCACACCATTCCACATCTGTGAAAATGGGCCTATAATGGGTAAAATCAGGGTCTCAAATGCCACATGCTTTTTGGCACAATACACCCAATCTCCCCAGACACACTAATTATTTCACTGATGTTCATAATCTGATTGACCTATGTCTAAAACTATGTCCAGTTTTATTGGCAGATTCATCAGTCTGGTGACAAACACACAAAGACACATTTATAGATATGGGATTGGCCTGAAAGGGAGCAAAGAGTTTTGTGGCACTTTAAAGACTTACAGAGTAATGTGATGGCACAATGATGCAGTCTTTATGATCCAAAAGCAAACCAGAAGAAGCTAATGGGACTTATGAATAAGTATGCTCAGAAACCAAAGCACACTCACTACCCACTGGATCACATTCACAAAAAATGTCAGCATCCTACTACTGTCGTTCACATTTGTGTGATCCAAAACACTTGGCAACACAACCCGCTTGGTCCAGGCAAGACACAAACACACACTCAAAACCAAATGCTGGCATGCATTGATGCACTAGGTATGAAATCCCAAACACAAGTCCCATTGAAGTCAGTGGTACACTACTTCTGAACAATCAGGATTGCATGTTCAAGATACTCATTCAACCATTTGTAAGTGTCCTTATGCACACCTCTTTCGATTATATTACACTCATACATATACACACACACACTCATAGACAATGACTAACAGTTCCAGTGAAACACACTTAAATGGATGAATATTCATTCATGCATCATGCCACACAGACACACAGATACACACACACTAATGTTCTCTCATCAGTTCTCAAACCCGTAGAGAACTATGCCTCATTATTAATGAAATAAAGGCAACAGCTCCTAGATACTTTCTAGTAGGATTAGGCACCTATTAGTCATTTAGCTTCACAGATGTCAACTAATTTACTCTAGAAAACTGTACTTATTCAGTCAGATTTCTCAAGTTACAGCTCTTAAATTACTAAGGAATACAGCTGGTTGACCTACTAAGGTTTTACACATTTTAAAAAAAGCAAATTCTGCTCTTATTCTAGATGACAACTTGTAATACTTAATTGGTTTACTTGACTCTTGTGGGGGAATCCTCTTCAGTGGGTGACCTGAGTTAAATATCTCAGAGGAACAGCCTGTTTTCAAGGGACCTTGATTCAGATCGCAGGGATCCCAGAGTCTTGCAAGAGAGAGTACCCAAATTTTTCCATCAAGCTGGGCTGAGGAAATCAGAACCTCTTTCTGAACTGGAGGCAAAAGCTGATGTAAACCAGGGGAATGCGGGAACCTAAAGATGTATGCCCAGTAAGTTGCCAGGCAAAGAAGGAATAAAGGCTCCTAGTGAGTGGATTGCTCATGAGTCCAGTTCTCCAGAAGTAAATCTTTCCTCAGATGATTCAGGTGGTCTACAGCTATGCCCAGGCGGAGGCTCTGAAAGTTTAGGCTTACAAGCTTTTGGCTCCAACCAGTATTCATGGCTACTTTGCTATCTACAGACATGCCATGGTTGGACAGTTGGGTTATCTTCAGACTTTGTTTTGGTACTGCTTCTTTCTGCTTTCCAACTTCTTTGTCTTCAACTATCTGATGTGGGGTACTTGCTACTAATTTTCAACAAGGAGAGTAGTTAATGCTGGGAACCTCCACATCAGTGTAATATTTGACTTATGTAACAACTAGACAGAGCATATTAGCTGTCTGAAAAGGTATATTCCTAACTTACTAGGGTCTCAGTCTTAGAAATAAGTCTCTTAATGGTACTACCCTGCCATTTATTTATTCATTTGTTTATAAGAGCATGTCTTCCCCCTTATGAGCCATTCTATATTAGTTTTTACGGTCTAAATAATCTTGTAAAGCTTTTCTGCTTGCTTGCCCAGGGTGATTGTTGATTACTATAAATCATCAGATGAGTGGTTATTTGTAAGGATGAAGCCTTGGCTAACTAATTATTTTCAAATGCCCAATTGTGGAGATCTCTAACAGAAATGTGGACCATTCACAATAGATTTGCTCCTGAGTGATATGAGAGCATTGTTAAGTGCAAACAATTTGTATTCATAACCTGAGTGACATTAGCCCTGATTTTACACCTGGTTTGAAGTGGGGTGAAAAGAAACCAGATTCTATTTTGCAAGTGAAGTCAATCCTCATCTAAAATACTCAGTGATCAGGCTTTAGAACCTTTTACCATGAACTCACTTTTATTTTACACCAAGGCATCTGCTTAAGAAAGAAGGAATCCATTCCACATTGTGATTTTCTCAAATTTGGAAAAGCTGCACTCCACTAACTGCTTACTAAATGCAGGCCAGACCTAGTGAGTGGGAACAAAGGGACTGCACACTCCCTTCCCCATAGCTTACTCCTTCATTCTGTATCCCACTGAATCTTAGCTGAAGAGGAGCATTAAAAATTGGATGATGTCTTGGAGGCTAAGCTCTTACCAAAGTGGGCTCAATTCTTCAAAAGGGGCCAAACCCTGTTGTGTTTGATGCTCCTTGAATTGCAAAGTGTGTGTGTGTGTGTGTGTGAATAATGGTGTTTTGAGCACCAGCTCTGATCAAGATCTTCCTCCATCTCTCCCCACATCTCCTACATATAAAGAAGGGAAAGCACCATGGAAAGGAGATGTGGTGGGGGGCTGAGGAGCACCAGGCTGGAACAGACAAAAGGCGCTGGCAGGCAGCGAGAAGGTGGGGTGGGTATATTTCTTGTGAAATGGAAATAAGACTCCCACACCCAGCTTGGGCATGAGTACATGGAGGCGGTTAAAAAATAAAATAAAATAAAATAAAGAACACCCTCTGCCCACATCCCACACCCTGAGGCAGAAAGGAAACAGGTGGTGGCTCCATGGAGACATCTCAAAAGCAAGAGTGGAATGAAGAACAGTACATGGGTTGGCAAAGGGAGGCTGTAAAAGGAGAGCGAGATGGATGAATAGGAGAAGGAGAGAGGGGATGCCTATGATGGCTGAGGCTTAACAGGGTGGATGTGACAAGGGTGTGGGTGAGCGTGTGTGTGTCTATGGGTGGATAGAGATATAAATGGGTGGATGAGAGATGGGTAGACAGAGACATGAAAGGGAAGGCGGGGGGGGGGGAGGTTATGGCCACAGACAACAGCCCTGCATCACCAGTTTTGAGCATGCGGTTTTGTCTGGTGACTGGGCCTGCTCACCTCGGATCCTCTGGTCTGGAAAATCAGGAGCAGAGATGACACTTGGACCAGTTGGGTGGATGGGTGGGGAAGAGAGCAAAGAGCTAGTGGTCCCCAAGTCCAACCCTATCCTGGCTGTCCAGGGCTGAGACCCTGTCAAGGGAGGATGGCGAGGGGTGTCCCAGGGCTGTTGCCTAGGTGACAAGACCAGTCTTGATGCCTCCTCCCAGGAAGGATTGGGGATGGGGAA